ATTTTTATATATTATATACCTCTATAGAGGTTTATAGGAAAACGTGTATATTATATCTTTAATAGTCAAACTAAAAACTTTACGACTAAATTACCTCCTCTATTAAACTGCTAAAAACTATATACATATGTGTACCGATTGAGGGCGTGGCAAATCGGGAATCGGAGTTATTAGCGTTAGAGCTTTCAATAAAAATATTCTATTGGAAAGCATCCTATTCATATAAGCTTAATATCCATCAAATGGCCCCAGGAGCTGAGGACTGTCTATAAATATACTCAGAATTATATTTGAAATATTATCAAAGAACTCTAGGTAAACAATGCTTAGTATTTGGCTTGATTCAGCTTTAGTTTAAACATTTCTGTAAATACTTGAGGTAAACAACTCTTTTAAAAATTCGTTCTGAGGGAATGCCAAGACTTAAAAGGATGCTAATGTTACGCAAATATGTTTTCATTTTCTTTGGAGTATTATTGGTATTCATCTGGCTAAATCATAGAAACAAGAGCAATGAACAGAATATTGTGCTCGAGCAGTTCCCAGCCGTTACCAAGGATATATTACCAGACACGTCGCCGCCGAACTTAATTGCAAGAGAACAGCAAATACGTGAAATGATACGTGCTAATAGAATGCGTAAAGTCCAACAGACGGACGAGCCGAAGGTATCAAAAATTAGATTTGCCGATGAACTTGGCATCAGTTTCGATGACGACGATGATTCGCTCGAGATGGTTGCAAAGCCAACGCGTTATCTGGTAAATAGTATGAAATGTAAGATGCCGTTTGCCGATCCCTTTTCGCGTGCGGTAATGGAGGTCCTTAAACCCTCCAAGCTGAAATCCTGCTCCAATGCGACCGATGCATTTCGCGTGCAATACGATGATCAGGCGAAACACTACAATTTAATTGTTGATCGAGATATCTTGTTGAAATTGAATCCACTCGTGTCCAGTGTCGATTGCAGCTATCGTAAAATCACTCTAGACACTAAGGAGAGGCCCGAGCATAACAGCAAGTAGGTCGAACCCATTATCGAACCCTTTTATCCCCTAGCCTAAAACCCCGTTCACCTCCCGTAGCATAAATGCGCCAGTTTACTTTAGAGGTCAATGCGCTTTGCCGCAAGATGTGGAGAGTATTATGGTCGAGTGCCATGATGCATTCAACAGGTCGAGAACTTTGCAGCGGGACGCGATTATCGTGGTTCAAGTGAACGATACAAGTAAAAGTACTGAGAATCGAGCGGTGGAACGTCAGCCCAGCGTAATAGTCCTCGGTTTAGGCAGCATGTCACGTATGAACTTTCAGCGCACAATGCCAAAGACGGCTAGATTTGTCAATCGAATAGGCTGGTTCGAGCTGGAGGGGTACAACAAGATGGCCGATACTACTATACCAAATTTGTTGGCCATGCTGTCGGGTCATACAATGGGTCAACTGGAAGATCGTTGCGCACCCGAGTCTGATGGCTGTTCGTGGATATGGAACGACTACAAACGTGCTGGCTATGTTACAGCTCTTGCTGAAGACAATGTCGGTGAGGCGGCCTTCCTACAAAATATGCCTGGTTTTGAGGATGTGGCCGTCGACTATGATCTTCGTCCGCTTCTGGTGGGCATTGGTAGTGCATTGAGCTTGTACGAAAAGTCTGGATATAATTACTGCGTCGGCAGGCGACTGGGCATCTCGTATGTTTACGAGTTTTGTGCACAGTTCGCAGCGAGCTTTGCCCGGAAAGGGGATCGGCCAGTGTTTGGCTTTTTTTGGAGCAACACAATCACTCAGAGCTCGAACTTTGCTGCCTCCGGTTTGGATGGTATATTTGCAAATTATCTGAATAGGCTTGAGCAGGCGAAGCTCTTTGATAATTCGATCGTTGTCCTAGTGAGCGATCATGGTGCACGCGACGGCGTGCTCATGGACCAGTCCGATAGTTTCCTCGAGGAACGTTTACCTTTGTTGCATATCTACCTGCCGCCCTGGTTCCGCAAAGCCTATCCGCAGTACGCTCAGGCCTTGGCTATGAATCACAATCGCTTGTGCTCGAACTTTGATCTGTATAATACGCTGAGACACCTGATCCAGCTGAATGCCACGACGCCAGCGATGCTGCCTGCCCTGGCCAGTTGCCCGAGTAGTCAATCGCTGTTGCACCTGCTGCCCACAGAGCGCAGCTGTCAGGACGCTTGCGTCAAGGAGCATTGGTGTACTTGCAACGAGTTTGACAAACAGAGTCTGGATGGTGAAATGTATTTGCTTGGCAAGCGTGTTGTGTATCATATTAATCGTTGGATGCTGATGCAACGCTACAATGAGTTCTGTCAGCGTCTCGGTCTGCAGGATATGGATATGGCGGAGCAAAAGATGTCCTATGAGGAGAATGGCAGAGTGGGAATGTATGGCTCAATTGTAGTTTATCGCTTGCGTTTCCGCACCTATCCCTATGTGGGAAAATTCCAGGCAACCGTTCGCTATAATCGTGAACTAGAATCTATTGAGGACTTGCATGTGCCAGATATTAGTCGCTTGAATAGCTACAAAAACAGTTCAGAGTGTATTAAGGATGAGGTGGCTAAAAAGTTTTGTTTTTGCTATCCCAAGTCAAAATTAAGTGGCGCCATGAAAGAGTGGCAAGCGCAAAAGATAACGACTGTTCCGGCATTTTAAGTCAGCGCCAAGAAAAGTGAAGAAGAAGTAATTATAGTGATCAATATCGTCAAATTTAGTGTGAAATTTCTTTTTTGAAATTAAAAACAATGTAATTCAGAAACGAAACGTATTCTGTATTAAGTTATGTTTGTATGTAATTAAATTTGAAATCTCTATCTCTAATTTAAGTTTTAGCACACTTTTAATCGATAATTTGTTAATTGTTATCGACGTTGTACAACACTTTTCTGCGACATGCCAAACTACTTCAGTGAAACTAAAATTGTTTTCATTAAATTTGCGCTTGTCACCGTGAGCAAACATTTAATTTTCTCTAATAATTTGCCAACAATTTCTAAAATGGGAAAAAACGAAGAAAATGTCACTCAGAATCATAAAAACAAGAAGTGTGATGAGAAAAAAAAAAAGCGCTTAAGACGTAGACGATCGCTATCTAGAAGTCATTCCGAAGTCGCACCAATTAACGCCGACGAAAACAGTCAACAAGAGGAAAAGGTCATTATTGATGTGACTATCAATGTGGAAAATAAAGATGACAAGCCGATCGAGCTGAAACGTACTAGTTCAACTCAAACTCAGGATACAACGATTGAGCCCAAGAAGATAAAGCTTGAGATTGAGGATGATAAGACAACAAAACCAATTGGAATATCTGATGTTCTAGAATGGCAAAAAAAATTCGGAAAAATTAGCAATTTGAATTATAAATCAGGAGAAATACAAACTGATGGACAAGGCAAAAGGGACTCGCATAACGTCTACACTGCACAACGCTCAACATTTATATTTACCTCTGAAAGCAACATCAATGAAGATTCAGCAGATGAGCCGACATGGAAACCTACAATGGATGAAGCAATAGGCTGCAATAAAGGAAATGTCCCCAAGGCGTCTCTTTCGCATCGCCTCATATATAAATACGAGGAAAAGCACGAGACTGTGAGCATGCCAAATGAAGCCGAAGCAAGGCCAAGCACCCCAGACGAAAATCCGCAATTTAAATCTGGGGAAACGAAAAGGCGCTGTTCGATCCTGTAAAATTTAAATAAAAATAAATAATAATAATAAAAAAAAGTAAAA